GATCCCTGAGCACAGAGCCAGGAGTCAGCCCTGAGCACCGCTGGGTGTTGTCCAACCTCCCCGCTACCCCTGGACCGAAAAAAAAATTAAGATGAAGTCCGTTGGCATGTGGCCGTGGACATGTGTACACGTTGGCACTGCTGTTTCTAACTCACATGCAACTTTTTTTTTTTTTTTTTACTTTTTGGGTTCCACCCAGCGATGCTCAGGGTTGACTCCTGGCTCTGCACTCAGGAATCACTCCTGGTGGTGCTCGAGACCCTATGGGATGCTGGGAATCGAACCCGGGTCGGGCGCGTGCAAAGCAAACGCCCTCCCCGCTTGCTGTCGCTCCAGCCCCTCACATGCACTGTTCTCCCGTTCAAATTGGGCCCTTTGTGGAGAAACCTCAGAGCAAACCTACAAACCCTCCCCCTGCCCACTTGTTCAACACCGCCCCCCCCATCCTGAGAAAACAAAACTTTGGTTTTGTTTTGGCTTTGGGACCACCCCCAGCAGTGCTCAGGGGAGCAGCGTTGGGGCTCTTGGTTCGTGATCCGCAAAGTGTGGGCGTCCAAGGTGGAGAGGCAGGCTGGGGGCAGGTGGACAATCCCCCTTGCCCTCCCCTGCCAACCTCCCGGGGTTTTCACTCCCGGGGAAGTTTCCAGATGCTCTGAGGAGACTGTGGGGGACGTGGCTCTCAGGGAGGGCTTTGCAGGCTGCTGGTTTCTGCTGGATGTCCTTGCGCTGGACAGGGCTGAGGGATGACCCCAGTGCTGGGAGGGGTCATGGGATTTGGGACACGGGCACTTGTCACATGGACATGGGACTCAAACACGGAACACAGGACATGGCACATAGGACACGGGCATAGGACATGGGACACAGTCACGGGACACAGGACATGGGACCTGTCCCTGTCCCTGCACCTGAAGATGGCCAGCAGGGTACCCCCGAGTGCCCTGGCCGGAAGTAGCTTAGAAGGCAACTTGTGCCCTGCGTGCCTGGAGCCAGGGGCACCCGCGGCCTTATTGCACTTCGGGGTGCATCCGGAGACGCTGCCTGAGACCCCTGAGCCCCTCACCCCCAGCCTGGGCCTGGCGTGGGGGAGCAGCGGGGCTCCCCCAACTCTCGGCCCCCCTGGAACGTGCATGCAGGACCAGCCTGATGGACCCTCACCCGCACCCAGCTCTGGCCTCCTGTGGGCACGGAAATGAGGGAGGGGTTGGCGGTGGTGCCACGGGACAGGGCTGGGGCCCTCGGACTCGAGGGCCAGTTTCCTCTCGTTCCACAAACGGGCACACTCGGGCACGGCTTGGCGAGAGTCACAGGCCAGCAGGGGACGTGGCGGCCACCCGGGGGGAGGGGACTCCTGGGGGGTTAGGATGTGTAGGACCCACCTCACCCTCTCACCCAGCTCCGTAAGGGTTCAGAGTCAAAACCCAGCGGGATGTTGGGGGCTCTGGTGACCTCGTGACCTCCTGGAGGGGGTCCCCCAAACTAAAGGGGTGACCCCAAAAGCAAGAGGGAGAGGGACGGAGCCCACGGCTCAGTCCTCCGGAGAAGGCAGCTCCGCAGCCCGGCCCACGCCCCCCCCAACCCGCCTCAGCGGCAGGGCTGCGGCGTGACGGGTCTTTGATGCTGAGAAGCTTCTGCGTCACATGCGGGGATGGCGGGGCGTGGGCCGGCCCGGGGCTGCCAGAGCGCAGAGCCACTGGGACTGGGGGCAGCTCCCCGAGGGGCAGAGGGGGGTAGGCTTGGTGAGTCCTACCCAGACACCCACTTGTCACACGTCGGGCGCGTGGGGGGGCGGGGTCCCCGGGAGCCAGGCCCAGGTGCATGTTGGGGTGTGGGAAAGGATGTCGGGGCGTGAGGACCCCAGGGACGTGGCTGCCGCTGCTCACGTTTCTCCCGGCGGGTTTGGGGCTGTTCGTGTGGGGCTCAGGTGGCCACACGGGGACCGACCCAGGCTCGGCCACCTGCAAGGCCAGTGCCAGACCATGCAACCCACTCAGAGCCCCAGGGGGTTATGGGGGGGACATGGAGGGACTCGGGTCGGACTCCTAGGATGGGCCATGGGCCACAGGACATGGGCACGTGGGACGTGGACATGGAACACAAATGGCACAGTCTAGCACCGTCCTCCCGTTGTTCATCGATTGGCTCAAGCGGGCGCCAGTAACGTCTCCATGGTGAGACTTGTTGTGACTGTGTTTGGCATATCGAAGACGTCATGGGGAGCTTGCCAGGCTTTGCCGTGCGGGCAGGATACTCTTGGTAGCTTGCGGGGCTCTCTGAGAGGGGCGGAGGAATCGAACCTGGGTCGGCTGCGTGTAAGGCAAACACCCTCCCTGTGTGCTATTACGAAACACAAATGTGGGTCACAGGATACAGGACACAGGACACGGGACACGGGACACAGGCATAGAACATGGGACCTGACATGGGACACGGGACATGGCACACGGGACACGGGTCCCTGGCCAGGGGTGACAGGCACAATCACGGGATGGACAGACATGGGCACAGTTCCTGGGCGCCTGGCGATGCCACGGCAGGGGGACAAAGTCTGTTCTGTCCCTGCAAGCCCAGCCATGGCTCCCAAGGGCATGAGGCTCTGATGATACCAGGAGACCCGACTCCCTCCTGTTCTCTGGTGAGCCCCGGGTTGGGGGGAGGCGATGGGGGCTGGGGGCATTCATAGCCCCGGGCGGGTGGGGCAGTGGGGGCGCCCACAGGAACCTCGGGAGGAGACGCTGGCGTTGGAGGGCGGCTGCACCCCGAAACCACAGGGTACGCCAGCTGCTGGGGGCTCAGGAGTCAGGGGGGACTGTGGGCGGGAGGAGGTCGAGGGGCCAGGACCCAGGGGCCAGCGTGGGAACTTCCTGGAATCCCCTCCCTTGCCTCCCGGGGGGCCCCACCCAGCTCCTCATGACATTGGGGAGTACCACCTCTGACCCCAGCCCTGTCCGCCAGTGACCCTGTGACCCTGTGTGCGACCCCCATCTGCCTCGACCCTCTGTCCCTGACCCCATCTGTCCCTGACCCTGTCCGTGACCCCCCTCTGTGGCTGTGTGCAACCCAGAAACAGCATGTTGGGAGGGAGAAGGAGACTCATGTGGTTCTTGCCGAGACAGACTGATGGTCTGAGATGCTCAAGGGTGGTTCTGGGGACGTGGGTGGCAGCACTGGCCCTTGGTCCAGCTCACGGAGCAACCAGCACCGTCCCGCGCTGGGGTGGGCAGGGCTGGGTCTGGGAGGGAGGTTAGGCAAAGGCCCAACAGTAATGCCGCCAGGGTCTGTGAGCACTTTAGATGAGCCTGCCTGTCTCAGCTTCTCTCTGGGCTGCTCTGACAAGCTCTGGCATTCCTGGCTCGGAGGAAACCAGGAAGAGCGGTCGCTGGTCAGAGGAGGTGACAACCAAGGGAGATAAAACAGCCAGGACCAGGGGCAGGCGCGCCACTGGCACTGACCTGAAGCGGCCACCAGAGGGCGCCCAAGGCAGGCCAGTTGGAGGCCTACGTGCAGCCTGGGACTCTGGCCCTGAAATTCCAGGATGCGGCCACCAGAGGGCGCCCAAGCATAGACCAGTTGGAGGCCCAGGTGCAACCTGGGACTCTGACCCTGAAGTTCCAGGATGCGGCCACCAGAGGGCGCCCAAGCGTAGATCAGGTGGAGGTCTAGGTGCAGTTTGGGACCCTGGCCCTGAAATTCCTGGATGCGGCCACCAGAGGGCGCCCAAGCATAGATCAGTTAGAGACCTAGGTGAAGCCTGGGATCCTGGCCCTGAAATTCCAGGTGCGGCTGCCAAAGAGCAGACCAATTGGAGGCGTAGGTGTAGCCTGGGAATCTGACCCTGAAGTTCCAGGCTGCAGCCACCAGAGGGCGCCCAAGCGTAGATCAGTTGGAGGCCTAGGTGCAGCCTGGGGCTCTGGCTCTGAAATTCCGGAATGCGGCCACCAGAGGGCGCCCAAGGCAGGCCAGTTGGAGGCCTCCGTGCAGCCTGGGACCCTGACCCTGAAATTCCTGGATGCGCATGCCAAAGGGCAGACCCGGTGGAGGGAGGCCTAGGTGTAGCCTGGGAACTCTGACCCTGAAGTTCCACGATGCGGCCACCAGAGGGCGCCCAAGCGTAGAGCAGTTGGAGGCCTAGGTGCAGTCTGGGACCCTGGCCCAGAAATTCCAGGATGCGGCCGCCAAAGGGCAAATTGGTTGGAGACCTAGGTGTAGCCTGGGACCCTTACTCTGAAATTCCAGGATGCGGCCACCAGAGGGCGCCCAAGCACAGACCAGTTGGAAGTCCAAGTGTAGCCTGGGACTCTGACCCTGAAGTTCCAGGATGCGGCCACCAGAGGGCGCACAAGCGTAGACCAGGTGGAGGTCTAGGTGCAGTCTGGGACCCAGGCCCTGAAATTCCTGGATGCGGCCGCCAGAGGGCGCCCAAGCACAGACCAGTTGGAGACCTAGGTGAAGCCTGGGACCTTGGCCCTGAAATTCCAGGTGCGGCTGCCAAAGCGTAGACCAGTTGGAGGCCTAGGTGCAGCCTGGGGCTCTGGCTCTGAAATTCCGGAATGCGGCCACCGGAGGGCGCCCAAGGCAGGCCAGTTGGAGGCCTCCGTGCAGCCTGGGACCCTGACCCTGAAATTCCTGGATGCGCATGCCAAAGGGCAGACCCGGTGGAGGGAGGCCTAGGTGTAGCCTGGGAACTCTGACCCTGAAGTTCCACGATGCGGCCACCAGAGGGCGCCAAAGCGTAGAGCAGTTGGAGACTTAGGTGCAGCCTGGGACTCTGACCCTGAAGTTCCTGAATGCGGCGGCAGGTGGGGGGGGCGCGTGGGCTAGGGGCGTCCAGGGGGAGTGGGCATTTCAGGGGTGGGGCTGAGCGGGGCATCTGCAGAAGCTCCCAGAAGCATGACTCCCACCGTGGGGTGCTGTGGGGTGTGGTCAGAGGGTGTGGGGTGGCCTCCAGGTATCGGGGTGTGCTTGGGCCCAGCCTGGCTGACCCCCACTGTCCCACGCAGAGGCCCAGAGCTTCGGCCTGCTGGACCCGCGACTCTGCTACCTGCTGGACGGTTTCCTCTTCATCTATGGCATCGTCATCACCGCCCTCTTCCTGAGGGCCAAGGTGGGTGCTGGGGGGCCGAGACCTGTCTGGGGACGCCGTTGTGTGGCCCCGGGCTCTCCTGCCGTCCCTGTAACCCGCTCTCCTCCTCTTCCAGTTCAGCCGCAGTGGGCCCATAGATCCGTCGGGTCAGAACCAGGTCTACATTGTAAGTCAACCCGGTGGGAGTGGGGGGCGCCCGGGGACCAGCGGCCCCTCCAGAGCTGCTTCCTGACTACCCCGAGGGGGGACATCGCTGTCACTGAGTAATGAGTACTCAGTAGTACTGAACACCAAGCACTGGCTAGTACTGAGTAGCACTGGGTGCTCAGGAAGAAGCGGGAAGTGGGCCCGGGGGGTGCTTCCTGTGGGCGCCCGTCAGAGGGATGTACGTGGCCATGAGTGTGGGGTCCTGCCCTGTCCCCTGCTGCAGGAGCTGGGCGCTGGCCGAGACGAGTATGACGCCCTGTACAAGGGCCGCGGTCAGAACCCCGAAAGCAGGAGCAAACCGGTAAGTGGCCCATTTCAGGCGCGGGCTGGGAAGACACCCATGTCCCCTGTGACTGGGGGGAGGACAGTGTAGGGGGGTGCGGCCCCCTGACCTCTGTCCCCATCTATCCCATGCAGAGAAGGACACACCACCAGGAAGGCCTGTACAACGTAAGTGGGGGGCCCTGGCGGGGAGTCCTGGGGCATCAGGCGGGCTGTGTGGCCCACTGACCGCTGACCTGGATGGGCGGTTCGGAAGGTTCCAGAGGCCTAGAGGGCGGGGGCGGGGAAGGGAGGTGGACCCGGTGGGGTGGGGGCTGAGACATTTGTGGGAGCCCCCAGATGTGAAAGGTGTGGCCTCCTGTGGGTCCCCGGGGCTATGGCCACTGGGTGAGGCCAGCCTCGTCCTCACTGTCCCCGCAGGCCCTGCAGAAAGACAGGATGGCGGAGGCCTACAGCGAGATCGGCATGAAGGGAGAGGTGAGGGTCCTGCCTGCGCTGTCCACAAGCACCGCCTCACGCACGCACGGGCCCCTGGCCTGGCCAAGGAGTGGGGTGTTCCCCTAAACCAATGGCAGGGGCCGGACCCCGGGCCCTGAATTCTGGCCCAGCCCTGAGCCATGCCCGGGAGCCCCAGATCCCCATTTCTCATGGGATGCACTGCATCAGACCCAGGAAGGCTGTGGCTGGAGGTGGGGGGTGCTCCCTGCCCCGGGACTCTGATGTCTGAATCCCGCGGGGCCTTTGGACCTCTCTGGGCTGGGGTCTGCGGGGGCCCCCCCCATGGTCTCCTCACCCCTGTCTGACTCATCCTGTAGAACCAGCGCCACAGAACCAAGAACCACGATGGCCTCTACCAGGTGAGGTTGCGGCCAGCGGGGGGTTCCCCGGCCCGGCCTTGGGGTGCTCTTGGGCTTCTGGGAGCAATTCAGGCCCTCCCTTCCCTCTGTCCGGGGCGCTAGGAAGCTCACCGTGGCTGCGCGGCCCTGACCTTCCCTTGGGGGCCCCCATTCTCTCTCTAGTGAAGCAGACTGGGAGAATTTCACTGGGGTGAGGGAGGAGACGCACGCGGAGGGCAGGCAGGGCCTGACGCGTGTCCTGCTCTCTCCAGGGGCTCAGCACGGCCACCAAGGACACCTACGATGCCCTCCACATGCAGGCCCTGCCGCCCCGCTAGCGCTCAGCTTCCGGCCCCCAGACCAGATCCCCTCCCCCATCAAGGGTGCTGTGAGGTGCCCTGCCCTCAGGGACGCGTGGACTCAGCCTGTTTGGGGGCTCCAGGGGGGCCTGGCGCTGCTGTAAATTTGCCTGCTGCTGTCTGTGTCCGCCAGGGGGCCCGGGGACAGGCCACCGCTGAAGCCGTGGGGAGACCCCGAGGCCGCGCTGACCACTGGCTATGCCAGCCCCGCTGCTCTCAATAAACGCTTCTGAGAAATGCCACCTCTGGGGTCAGACACAACACGGAGGTTCAGACGTGGGGTGCAGGCAGGGGGCACCCCAGGGAAAGGGCCTGGGGGGGACGAAGGACGACAGAGGATCTCTCTGGTGGGAGGTGTTTCTGCACGTGCGCGTACACACACACACACACACACACACACACACACAGAGTCTAGTTGGATGGGGGTCACCAGGATGGGGGAGGCCGGAGAAGCTGCAGGGGACAGTGATGGACTCACCGTGACATCACGGTCTCTGGGGAGGGGCAGGCGAGTGGCTGGAGTGACTGGCAGTGGTCTCCAACGGGAAGAGGAAGGGTGGGAACTAGGCATGCAAAAGCTTCCAGAACATCACCACCATCACCACCTCTACCCCACCAAAGAAGCACCAACAATGTGAAAACACTTGAAAAATGGTTTAATGATGTTTTACAACAGAAATGAACTGTACAGTTACAGTAAGTTTAATATATATAAAAAAATTACAGCAGACAAATGCATCTACACAAAATCTACCATTCCATTCAGATTCACTGTCACGGCGGCCGGGGTGCAAGGGGGGGGGCGGCCGGGCGTGGACCCCCACCCCCCCTTGCCCCTTCCCCCCGCCCCGTCAAGTTCTGTGGTTTCCAGTTTCTGAAACCAAGAAAGCGTGTTCCCAGGGCCCCCGGACTCCGAGGCCATCTCCTCTGGGAGCCACCTCCGAGAAATGCGCAAGGACCCCCCCCAACAGGCGGACCCCCTGCCCTGACCGCCTGCCGGAGCCGCTTACACCACGTCCGACGCCCCCACACAAGGGAGGGAATCCAGACTCACATTTTTAAAGTACATAAAACCGAAGTTTGGGGGGCCGAGGGCCAGCGCCCCCACGTGCCCCCGACAACAGTGGAAACACACCCTGAATCAATAATACATATATATATATCTTTTTTTTTTCAAAGGGAACAAAAGAAAAAGGTGGCGGGGGCAGGGGGTTAGGATGTTTAAAGACACGGAGAACGAAAACAGCTTTAGAAAAATCACGATCACTCGCTGCCTCTGAAACTAACGCCAGTGGCGAGTGAGGGCCCGAGCAGCCGGGAGGCTGTCACTGTATCTATGTACACGCAGAGCTTTTCCGTTTTCTTTTCTTAGGGACACCTAGGCAGTGAAAACTGTTCTGTGAACACATACGCAGACACACCCGAAACGTACAAAAATACTCTAATTCCAGACTACGAGGACAGCTCAGTGACTCCCATGCTTACAAGCTCGCACTGGAGACAGACAGGAAGTTCAACGACGGGGGTTTTTTGTGGGTTTTTTTTTTGTGTGTGTTTTTTCTATTTTTTTTTTAATATCCCAGAAATATACCAAAATATACATCTAAGCTTTGGAATTACTGAGGTTAGACTAACGCAAGTGCTGGGTAAGTCGTACTTGGTAGCAAGTCTAAGGTTCTGCAGGAAGGACCATCTTTGGTATCCGCACCAGGCTAATATTATTAACATCTGGATTCTCCTTTGGGATCGAGCTTGTGTGACCCTAGAACCAAATGCGCCCCCCACCCCCCGCCCGCCCTGGTCAACTGAGATTTAAAAAGACCCCTGTAAAAAGTTCCTTCATCCGGCAACACCCACCCTCCCCCCCAGTTAAAAAGTCACAGGCGTCCACGGGCAGGGAGGGGGGGGGCGGTGCATAGTTGCTGGAGTGACGGAGAGAAGTGAGGCCGGTGGGGGGGGGGGGGCTGGCCCGGGCCGTGCCCCGGGTCCCAGCCCCCAGCGGCAGCCTGTGTCCCCGTCGGAGGAGTCCTGGGCCCCGCCCCCTCGGCCAGCTCCTGTGTCCAGCCCAGGGCCGTGGGGCGTGTTCGGCCCCTCCCCCTCACCCCCCAGGGTCAGCGCGCCAGACGGAGGCCACAGAAGATTCCCTTCTCTTTGGTTTTTTGGTTTGTTTTGAGTTTATACAATCATCAAGAAATCTTTGGTTTTGGCTGGAAAGTCCAAGAACGAAAGGAAACAAAGGAACGCCCGTGTCTGCCGGAATAGCAGCAGGCCCGGGCCGCAGGGCCCCGGGGTGGGCCAGGGGGTACATTCAAAGAAAAGCTGAAAGGGCCGGGGGCAGCTTCGAGAGAGCGCCACGGGAGAGAAGATTGTCAAATAATAATATTAATAATAATAAAAACTTAAATATTTGGATTCTTATTTTTTTTTCTTTTTTTTGGTCATCAAAGAAAAAAAAAAGTGAGATGTGTATGCAGCAGGTGGCTGGGGACACCGGTGCCCCCGCCCCCAGGCCTAAAGTCAGCAGAACCCGAGGCCGGGCGCCCCCGCCCCGCCCGCCCTCGAGCCAGGCCAGAAGGAGGAGGGTGGAAGCTTCACCCTCGGTTTGCAGTAGCTTTCGCAGCAGCGACATTCAGGGGCTCTGGGGGCCCACCTGGGGTGCAGAGCTGTGTGGGACGGACAAATGGACGGACGGACCGACGGTCGGGGGGGGAGACGTGGGGCTCTGGGGATGGAGTCAGCCTCGGGGCCGAGCTGGAGCTGAGGTATACGACAGTGTCTGGGGGACAGCAGGGGGCCCCAAGCTGACCCACCTAGCCTGGGCCACACCACAGGAGGACGGGGGGGGGGGGGACGGGGTGCCAGGCACACAGGCCGGCTTGGGCGAGCTGCCGGTGGGGGCCCCCGTTTTCCAGGGGATCATCTGGACGTTGGCTGGAAGCCGTGTCTGGGAAGGGCCGGGGCGGCGGGGTTTGGGGGTGCAGCACCCCGGCCAGGACCATCGCTGGCAAAGCTCAGAGATGTGGAGCCCGCGAGCAGCACCCCGGAGACAGTTCCGCCCGCAGCGATGGGGAGGGGGCGGAGGGGGGACAGGAAGAGGAGGGACGGCAGCAAAGCCCTGCCACTTCCGGTCACTGCTCCCCCAGTGAAATGGAGGGGACGGGCTGGCGTGAGTGTCTTTGGTACCCGGACCCGGTCCCCACCCGGGTCTCAGCAGAAAGGCCGGGGGTGCGCGGCCCACTCGGGCCCAGCCAGGCAGCCCGCCCTGCACCCAGAGGTAACGACACAGCAACGGCCTCGGGGACCCGAATCTAAGGGCCTGTCCCTGCGCGGCCCGCAATGTCCCAGTCCTGCTCGGAGCCAATCACAGGCGCGCTGAAGTGTCCTTTGGCCAGACAGAAATCAGGAGAGAAACACGGACGCGCACACATGAGCGCGCGTGCGCAAACACACACACACACACACACAGACATACACACACACACGCACAATGTTACTTCTAACATAACCCACTTCTCCTCCCTCCTGGCCCTCCCTCACCTATAAACAGGGTCCCGAGCCGTGACAGCATCGCCCGTGTTTATCCCACAGGATAAACACATCGTCGGACACACCACCCGGGAGTCAGTTCCCTATTTATGAAGGTCTTTCTTTCCATGGATTTGGTTTGGGGTTTAAACCCGGTTTCTGCAGGCAAGTTGCTCTGTGAGGTATTTCAGGGAGGTGCCAGGATTGGGCGGCACCGCTCCGTCTGTCCTCCCCGTGAAGGCTGTCACCAGAGAGAGGACGAAGCGGGTCGGAAGGAGGTGGGCTTTGTCCGGCAAAGGCTACGGAACGGCACACGGGGAGGGCAGGGAGGAGGGGACGAGTGGAAATCGGGAGCCCTTCCAACCCCAGGGCTCCGGGGTGGCCCCGAGGGAGGCGGCGGAGATGAGGACCAGCCTCACTTCCCAAAGCGGCATCCGGGGTGTCTAAGATGGGAAGACGTCAGAGTGGGCACAAGGCCGCAGTGAAGGTCACACACACACACACACACACACACTCAGATACACAAACACTCACACACAACACAGACACACAGATACACACAGCCAGACAACACACTCATACATAAACTCTCACACTCATATACAAATGATCACACACACATACCTATACTCACCCTCACACAACACACACACCGATACACACTCACACAGATACACACACTTTCATATGCATGCGACACACACACACACACACACACACACACACACACTCCTCATAAGGACACACCCCCAAGAGCTCATGGGTGGCCGAGGCAGCATGCGGGACCCCTGGGGTTCAGTTCCAGGTGCTGCACAGACCCCCCAGCAAACAAAGAACAAAGGAGAGAGCATGAGCTGCTGGTGTGGGCCAGTGGGTGGCGGCCCAAGTCAGGGGCGTGTCAGAGTGGCCTTCTCCCTGGCCAGCACTCAGCCCCCAACCACCCTGCGCACATGTGCGTCCACGCGTGTGAAGGGGGCGAGGGGATGTCCTCCCCTCTTCATGTGTGCGTGTGTGTATGGGGAGATGTTCTCCCCTGTGCACGCATGTGTGTGTGTGTGTGTGTGTGTGTGTGTGTGTGTGCTCCTGACTCCATGCTCGGGAGCCTCTGCAGCCGCCTCAGCCCCAGGCTTCCCCTCCCCGTCCCCTTCTGACACCAACTGGGACCAACTGACACTCCCAAGCAGTTGCGCTCCCGGGGGCACCGGAGCTTTCTCAGCAGAAACCTCGACTCTGTCTAGATCTAGATGCGGTGCTTCCCGGGAAAGCAGCGACAGGGGCCCCGGGGGGCCCCCAAATAGCTGGGCCGCAGGAGACCAGGAAGGGAGAGATTGTGCTTTTCTCACCCTGAACAATGAGCTAATCTCACTCAGAGTCCTTAATCTTACTGCTTTCTTTCCTTTCTTTCTTCCTTCCTTCCTTCCTTCCTTTCCTTTTTAATGAAAAGCTTCCTTCAAAGACCGAGGCCCGAATGGGCCCTGCAACTGAGCGGGGCCGCTCGGCCCAGAGCACAGTGATTCTTTTTTTTGCTTTTTGGGTCCCACCCGACAATGCTCAGGGCTGACTCCTGGCTCTGCACTCAGGAATCACTCCTGGCGGGGCTTGGGGGACCCGATGGGATGCCAGGGATCGAACCCAGGTCAGCCGCGTGCCAGGCCAACGCCCTCCCTGCTGGACTATCGCCTCAGCCCCGATTCTTAAATAACACGCAGTTCCTACTCCTGGCCCTCGGGCTCTGCTCTGGCTGCAGCTCCACCTCCAGACTGGTCCAGGAGGAAGGAAAGGTGGGCCGCTCCAGGGAGCAGGATGCAAACCTTTCCTCCTCCGCCGGTGCCCAGAGGCTGCCACGCCACGTAGGGTCTGGGACAGGCCCGGAAAGGCAGGAACGACCAAGGGCCTCTGCTCAGACACTGCCCAGATCCCAGGCCTCTGCGCCTAGGGAATCACACAATCACAAGCATTTCTTGAGACAAGAAAAGATGAGGTCCTGAGAGACAGAGGGTGGGGAGGGGCGATGGGGGCCGGGGTGTGAGTTTGCATCCCCATCGCCCAGCTGTGTGTGTGTGTGTGTGTGTGTAGGTCCATGAATACACGCATCCGTGTACCTCCCCTCCACCTGTTTTTAAGGAAGGAAAAGAGAACAATCTTAAGCGACTTCTAGCTAGGGATTTACTTTCTCTCAAATGCAGATTCTTGTGCTGGTTTAAAGGTCGATCCTCATGCAGACAGAAATACACACACAAGCGCACGCGCGTGAGCACACCACACACACACACACATGCATACACACACGCCCCGGCCCATGCACGCACGCTTGCCCCCAGCAGAACCCCCTTTCCCAAGTGGTTCCAACGGAGGCTCCAGATGGCAGGGTGGGGACCCCCGCGGCCCCCCCACACTTCCTTTGGTAGCGACTGGGGAAATGGACGCAGAAGTCCGGTGCCTGCCCTGTGAGAATCAGCATCTCCTTCCCTGAACCCCTCTCCCGCCCACGCCCCCTCGACGGGCGCTACAGTATTCACGACATTCCAGAATCCTCCGCAGAGACGCCGAGCCATTGCGCCGGGTGAGGGGGAGCCCACCGGGCTGGGGGCCCCGGGGGCCGGGCCGGAGAGGAGCGTGAGGCCCTCCTGCTCGGACCCCCTGCCCCGCCCCCACCCCCACCGCGGGCTCCCGAACCAGGCGGCGTCACCGGCAGGACAAGCAGCAGCTTTTCAAATAATCAACAACAAACAGAAACGCAACGCGACGTGGTCAGTAGCAATGGCCTCCCCAGGGTGCCCGAGCCGCCGCGCGCCCGCCCCGCCCCGCCCCGCCCCGCCGGGAATCCACTTTGGTTCAAGCTTCGTGAGTCACGACAAGGTAAATGAACTGTGCGCGCGGGGAGGCCGCTTTCCCGGGCGTGCAGTTCACGGATGTCGGGGGGCGGGCAATTAAATACTTTGGGAAGCCAGACAGGAAGACGGCCGGCGGGTCTGTGCCAGGGAAGGGGGCACCCCGCGGAGGGGGGGCCTCACCCCTTCGGACCCTCCCCCTCCACCCCTGCGGACCCGCCCCCCTGACCCCTGCAGACGCTCCTCCTCTCTGCGCCCTCCTCCCCTCCCAGCCCAGCCCAGCACCCCGATTCCTGGGGCGTGCCAGGTGCGTGCTCAGTCCCCGCCCCACCCCCGTCCTTCTGGAAGGTTCTGCCGCCCTCACCCCGCGCCGCTCACGCGCTTGCTTCTTTCTCCTCACACCTCTTGAGGTGGCCGGTCGTGGGAGGGAGCGAGAAGGGCAGAGGCGAGACGGGGGCGGGGGGCGAGGGCGAGGGCGAGGGCGGGGGCGCCCCCTCCCGTGCCAGGGCGGCTGTTCTCCACCAAGGAAGATGCAGGGAGTCTGGGGTGGAGCAAGGTCCACAGATCAGGAAGAAGCGCGCACAGCCGGCGCATTCTCAGGGGGCGGGGCGGGCCCCGACGGCGTCCGTCCGTCGGTCCGTCCGTCCGTCCGTCCGTCCGCAGTAGTCTTGGTTCGCCGGCTCGGTTCGGTCCCGAACGCAGCGGGGCCCTTCTCGGGGGTGAGGGGGGCCGGGGTGACGACGAGAGCGACCGTTCAGCAGGAATGTCCTTCCCACACAAAGTGCTCCGAAGGCACTGCTGAGGGGGGGAGGGGGAGGAGGGGGAGGGGAGGAGGGGGAGGAGGGGGAGGGGAGGAGGGGGAGGAGGGGGAGGAGGGGGAGGGGAGGAGGAGGAGGAGGCGGCGTCCGGAGTCGGCACCCGAGCCGCTCGCGCAAGGGGCCAACGAAAAGGGATTTTCTAGCACCTCTGGGAGAGTCGCCGCGGGGAAGGGCACCAGCGAGAACGCCCCGGCCCTCGGTGTGTGGGGGGGGCGGGCTGGCGGGCTCGGACCCCGGGCCGGAGACGCGCGCGGCCAGACTCGACGCGCAGAGCGAGGCCGCCCGCGAGAACGACGCCAGTCCCGGCTGCTCGGAAACGGGCTCCGGACGGGCGACCCACCTGCAGACAGTGACCGCCGGGCACGGGGAGGGGTCCTTGCACTTGGTTTCGGAATCTTGTCTGTCGGTTGGTCGGTGGTTTGTCTCTGTTTTTGCTTTTTTTTGCATTTTTCTCTTTTTCCTGGAAATTTTTGGTTAGAAAGTTCTCCGATGCAGGAGGCGCTCCTGAAAAGACAGTGTTTTATTACAAAATCAGGCAAAGTGGTCCGGCTCCGGCTCCGGCTCGGGCTCGTCCGCGTCCTCCTCCGGCCGCTCACTGCGCCTTGGGGGCGGCGGTGGTGGCGGCGGGCGCGGCCCCGCCGGCGGGCGCGCCCGCGAAGAGCGCGCTGGGCGCCGACTCGGCCGCGCTGGCGGGCGCGTGCAGGCTGGCGGCGGGCCCCGAGCCCCCGGGCGCGGCGGCGGCGGCGGCGGCCGAGACGAGGCTGACGGGGTTGCTGGTGAGCAGAGACAGGTTCTGGGGGTTGAGGAACAGCGGCGCCGTCACGATGTTGGGCGCCGCGCCCCGCGTTGGCGAAGACCAGGTTGCCGGCGGCGTCAATCGACGAACAACAGGATGATTGTGATCGTGATCACTAAAATTATCCTGTCAGAGGACCAGAAACTTCTCTGCTGATGCTTTAATTTATAAAGTTCCTCAAAGTTTGCAAGGAGCCACCCTCGCCCGGAGCTGCGCCCCGAGGCCAGAGCCTTCTAGGGGCTTCCAGGGCTTCTCCAGCCCCGAAGCGGACGCGGCTCCAGGGGGGCGCGCCCTGGACAGTGCCCGGAGGCCAGAACCCCAGAGGCTTCCAGGGGCTTCTCCAGCCCTGGCTCTGATGTGGCCCCAGGGGGGGCGCTCCCCGAGGCCGGGACCTTCTAGGGGCTTCTGGGGGGCTTCTCCAGCCCGAACGGGTCGCGGCCCCGGGCAGCGCACCAAGGCCAGAGCCTTCTAGGGCCGGGGGGCCGCTCCAGCCCCGACAGGCATCGCCCCGAGCCGGCACCCGCGGCCGGAACCTCCCCCAGGCTCCCGGGGCTTCCCGGGCGGGCAGGCCGACCCCGGCCCGGTCAGGGCCCCGCGCCCCCCCCCCCCCGCCCCCGCCGCGGCCCGCGCTGACCTTGGATGGTGGCCAGCGCGCTGTTGCTCATGAGCGCGGGGCTGAGGGCGCCGCCCAGGGTCCCGGGGCCGAGGCTGAGGAGCGCGCCGCTGCGGGGAGAGAGGGGGCTCAGCGCGGGCCGGGGGGGCGCGGTGCCCGCGGGCGCCCGCCCCGCTTACCCGGCGGCGAACTGCGAGGGCGCCACGAGGCCCGGGCTCAGGCCCGCGGCGGCGGCCATGGCGGCCAGGCTGGCGTTGGCGGGCAGCGGCGCGGCGCCCGGCAGCCCCGACGCCGTCACCATCACCTGGCTGCCCGCCAGCGGCGAGGCCAGCGCGGCCGGCGTGGTCTGCGTCGCGCCCGTCTCGCCGGCGCTGGACGCCTCGGCGGCGGCGGCCGACGGGGACGGGCTCAGGGACGGGGACGCGGCGGCGGCGGCGGCGGCGGCGGGGGCGGGGGGCGCCGTGGAGATCACGGTGGCCGCGTGGGTGGCGGCGGCGGCGTCCGTCGTGCCTGCGGAGGGGGCGGCGGCGTGAGCATCCCCGCGCCCTCCAGCCCGCCAGGCCAGCACCCGGGCAGGGCCCCGAGGGTGGGCGGCAGCTGCCCAGAGTGCGGGCGCAGCCAACGGCTCCGGGAGGCGGAGCGGAGACCCCTGCTCCCGTCCAGAGACCCCCACTTCCTCCCAGAGACCCCCCAACTCCTGTCCAGAGACCCCCTGCTCTTTGTGGGACTTTTGGTTTTGGGCCACACCCGGCAGTGCTCAGGGCAGGGTCACTCCCGGTGCGCTCAGGGATGCCACCGATGGAACGCGGGTCTGATCCCCTGTGAGGCAAGTGTCCTCCCCGCTCTATACTATCCCGTGGGGGGGGGGGGGGAGGGAATGACCTATTTTCCTACAATAAGTGTTGATAACAAACTGCACACACAGAAGGAGGCATCTGTACTGAATCAGCTCTCGGAGACAGAGCGCAGCAGTGAACTGTGACTGCTCACTCTCCTCAGAGCCGGCACGAAGTGCAAAGGGACACTGTCTGAGAGGCCTTCCAGAGGCAGCGTGTCTACACTTTTTGTTCTGCTGTGAGAACAGCAAATGTTTGCAACCCCAGGTGTAACTGACAGCAGCCCGGTCTGTGCCTGGAACAGGGTCCCTGGACTTGGGGCACCCAAGAAACAGAATCAGTCGCCCCTTCAAAAGCTCCTCCCGCAGACCAGCCTGGGTCCCAGCGGCGCTCACCTGTGACGGAGAGGTTGGTGACGGTGGTGGGGCTGGTCAGGGGGAGCACGGGGTTCACGGTGAGGGTGCTGGCTGTGCTGCTCGCCACGAGGCTGGGCGTGGTGGCCACCTGCAGGCCAGAGAGGGAATAGGCGTCCGAGCTCCGGAGTCTCGGGCACCTTCTCGGTCCAGAGGCCGATTCGCTCAAAAACCTCAGCCAGACCCGAAAATGCCCAAGAGGAAGCAAACTTTTTTGTCGCTCAGGGCTGACTCCTAGTTCTGCGTGCAGGAATCACTCCTCACGGTGCTTGCGGGACTCTCTGGGGTATTGGGGATCAAACACGAGTTGGCTGCGTGCAAGGCAAACGCCCTCCCCGCTGTGCGGTCGCTCAGGCCCCAAGAGGAAGCCATTTTATGATTCTGTAGATCTCAGAGTCTACAAAGTTAACGTAAATGGAAAGGTTGCATGCAAACAGAAGGTTTCTCTCTGATAGAAAAGGCCTCTCTGATACCACTCCCATGAGGAGTGATAGCACAGCGGATAGTGCGTTTGCCTTGCACGCGGCCGACCTGGGCTCGATTCCCAGAATCCCAGAGGGTCCCCTAAGCACCGCCAGGAGTAATTCCTCAGTGCATAGGCAGGATTGCTGGGTTCTCATTGGGGTGACCCAAAAATAAAAAGAAACAAACCAAAAAAAAAGGCCTTGCAACATAAAAAAAAATACATATATATCAAAATCAATGCCTATACTTCCATGGTGCTGAGTCACACACTCTAACTCAGTAAGCAAGACACAAGTCATGAACAAACACACAAGGAAATGACCCCTGGGGTCATCTGGCCGCTGCTGGCAGTATCACATTTCAACCAGGCCTGGTGGCCACCCCGTCCAGGGACACTATCACGACCCAGTAGTGACCCTGCAAGGTCAGCCACGGAGCCTGTGTGTGAGCCAAGACTCAGCTGGCGTCCAGCGCAAGCCGCAGGTCGCGGGCCACTGGGAATTCTCTGCCACGGGCCGTGGGTGCGTTAAACTCGATCAACTGGACTTTTGGTCCCACCACGACTCAAAGGTAGAATGTCGCCAGCAGCGAGTGTAGCCCCCAGGGACCCCACAAAGCCCCCAGAGGAAGGAAGGAGGAGGCTGCGGCGAGACAGGAAAGAATCGTCTGCTTTAAAAGGGGACCGGCACATCCTTGGATGGACCGCAGGAGATTTGGGGACTGTAGCCACACGGGAACAAGACAGTGGGGACACGCAGAGAGCAGGAGCCCCAAGGGGCAGGCGCGAGACAAGGGTTCCCGGGCCTGCGCTCACCAGCGGGGTGGGGCCGGGGAAAACGGCCTTGATGGGGGAGCTGCTGGCGCCACCGCCCGGCGGGTTGATTCTTTTCTCTTTCTGGCGGCGGTTGCAGAACCAAACCCGAATCACCTCCTTCTCCATGTTGAGCTGCTCGGCGATCATGGTGATCTCCTCCGAGGTAGGCTTTTGGTTCTGGGGGGGAGGGGGGAGAAACCATCTTTGGGGGTTGGAGCAACAGGACAGCGGGGAGGGCGTCTGCCTTGCACGCAGCAGACCCAGGTTCGACCCCCGGCATCCCTGGGGGATGGGGCTGGACTGGGCCCACAGCACCCTCCCTCCCCCCCTCCCGGACAGTGCACACTGGAAGGGATTTGATTTGAGCTGTGCTCAAGGTCACTCCTGGCGGGGCTCGGGGACAAGGTGGGTGCATCAAACCCGCTGCCATCCCTGGATCGCAGGGAGCAGCTTCGGCCCCCCCGCGTCCCCCCTACGTGCACACACTCTGCAGCGCCCTTGGGAGACCCTGGGCGTGTGAACAAGGCACGCTGCTTCTAAACTCTCTTCACAGTGCTCTGGGCAGCTCATGGGAGCTCCAACTGGTAGCCCCTGGGGCAGAGCAACTGGCCCCACGTCTGCCGGCCTGATGCCCATGCCATAGCTGACCCAGAGCCTGGAAGCAAGTATTCATGGGTGCACGGCCTCCCGTGGGGCTCTGCCCGCCACATCCCCCGTGACCAGAAAGGCAGTGGTCTGCGGCGCCAACCCCCCCCTCCGCCCCCCCGCCCCCCCCCCTCCGCCCCCCCCGCCCCCCCCCCGCCCCCCCCCCCGCCCCCCCCCCCCCCCCCCCCCCCGCCCAGGCGAGCGTCACAGACCTCCTCGAAACTCTTCTCTAAGGCCACGCGGATGTTGGTCTCTATGCTGGTGCGTTTCTTCCTCCTTCGGTTCAAGCCCTCGATGCCCTGGCCTGGGGAGTTCAGGGCACTGGGGCTGGAGACGGTCGAGTCGGAGGAGAGGTTCTCTGTGAGGAGAGAGCCAGCAACAGCTCAGCCGGGGGCGTGGACCCGCGCCCGGGAGGGAGCGACAGTGCTCGCCTCCGTTCTGACGGGTTTGCTCACTTACAAGCTTGGGGGAAATCAGCCCCTATTCCCAGAGGACAGCCTCAGCACACAGCACAGATGCTAACGGACGAGCAGCTCAGGTTTTCACGTATGAAGTACCTGGTCATTTGTATTGTTATTTATTTTTGGGGGGGGGAGGCTTTTTGGGTCACACTCGGCGATGCACGGAGATTACTCCTGGCAGTGCTCGGGGAACCCTATGGGATGCTGGGAATCGAACCCAGGTCGGCTGCATGCAAGGCAAATGCCCTCCCTGCTGTGCTATCGCTCCAGCCGCGTAGGTGATCATTTTTAATATCAAAAGCAGAAATAACAGGCCAGAGTGACAGCAAACGGGAGGGCGTTTGCCTTGTACTCGGCCAACCTGGGTTCAATCCTGGGCACCCCAGAGGGTCCCTCGAGCACCGTCAGGAGTGACCCCTGAGTGCAGAGCCAGGAGGAACCCCTGAGCATCACCAGGTGTGACCCAAAAAGCAAAATAAAATTTAAAAAGTGAATTAAAAATGGCTTTCTGGGGTCACAGTGATAGGACGGCAGGGAGGGCGTTGGCCTTGCAGGGACTGGCTCGGGTTCGATCCCTGGCATTCCATAGGGTCCCCTAAGCACCGCCAGGAGTGATCTCTGAGTGCAGAGCCAGGAGTCAGCCTGGGTGTGACCCCAAAACAAACAACAAAAAAGCAGAAATAATACCGGGAACAGCTATGTGGTAATTCACTGAATTACCAACGTATTTTTCCACATTTAACCTAACACTCAAGGCTTCATCAATATCCTTTGGCTGCCCAGACACCCTGATTCAGAAGAAACACGCAGAGGGGGGCTGGACCTATAGCACGGCGGGTAGGACGCTTGCCTTGCACGCGGCCGACCCGGGTTTGAGTCCCAGCATCCCAGAGGGGTATGACCCAAAAAGCAAAAAAAGAAAAACACACTAAGGCTAGAACGTGCCACCGACTGTGCACATGACATCCCGGGACCGTGGAAGGAGCCAGCTCTCCTGTCAGCCTCGATGCATTTTGGTCCTCCCGAGATCAGTGAACTTCAGGGGTCTTTAGTACAATGGCGCAGGAAATAGAAGTCAGCAAGCACGGTCGCTGACTGACCCCTCGGCTCCCCACCGCCTTCACGCCCTGTGCAGTTCCCAGGACATCTCTCCACCCACCCACCTGCATCATTCAGCCACTTCTCCAAAAGCGGCTTTAACTTGCACATGTTCTTAAAGCTGAGGTTCAAGGCTTCGAAGCGGGAGATGGTGGTCTGGCTGAAGTCGTTTCCGTACAGTTTCCCCATAGCGAGCCCGACATCGCCCTGCGCGGGATACAGAGCAGAGAGGGGGGAGGTGGGCGAGAAAAGGGCTTCCGGTCACACACACACACGCCACCTCCTGGGCCCACGAGACCCACCCGCGCCGCCCAGCGGCCCACCAAGGACTGAGTGTTAACCTGGCTCATACAACCTTCAAACTTCCGTGTGTTCTCTCTGGTTTGAATGGCTTCTTGCTGCCTCGTGGCATAATTCAGATCTCAGTTATTTTCACTAAGTCACAGAGGACAGTGCGGATACAGACCCCTCAAGTGACACCCATCAAAGCCTCAGTTTTCTTGTATCACCTTCAGGACTGGTAGGTGGGACTCCTACAATCGCTGCGGGGATTTCTGAACAAGCCCAACGTCCCGTAAAAATCACCTGAAAATTCAGAAATGAGTCCCAGGCCCTTTCTTTTTGTTTCCTGTCAAGTATTTTTAGAAGCAGCGAAAAATCTATTTTCCCTCCTTAGTTTGGCTTTCAAAGTTGGTAACAAAAAAACAGGTATTCTAAAAGATGACTTCTGTAACCATTATAGAGAAAGAAATTCACAGCAGAGAGGTCTGACCCATTTAGGCAAACCTTCGTGGCAGTGGAAAGTTGCTAACCTCATAGCAGTAGAACAATGCCTCCCTGAATATTCCACAAAAGATGTCTTTCTCCACTGCCTGGGCCCTTTGAAATGTATACGCGGCTTTTCTTCCAGCCCAACCGTCCCTTGTTAAGAGCAGTAAAAGCCGATCTGAATAGTTAGGGGAGCCGAATGATTCGCCCTCTCATTCCAATTAGGTTGGTGGCAGGGCTGTAGGAGGGCGCGTTTCTCATCGGAAGCGCCAATTCGCCGGAGACCAACTCCCAGCGACCCGGGAATAGCGCTCTGAATGGGAATTATCCCAACGCTCTGGGCTGTCTTTCGAATCCCGCATCGTTATCCAGCACCTGCATGATGTGGGGGCCAGGGAAAGGGGGGTCCTTTAGAACCCCTTCTTCTCACTGGGAAACGGCTGGACAGAGGAGAACCGTGGAAGCCAGGGGACAGCAAGGCCGAGGACACCTATCCTCAGTTTACCCAGAGCCGTGCTTCCCAGAGAGGCTAGAGTGAGGGGTGGGAGGAGAGAGTCTCCTTGCTGAGGAGGGGTGGCAGGTGGTAGCGACGCTCTTACAACCATCTTGGGTTCGCCTCATGAAAAGCAAATGGTCGGAGCAGTTAACTCACATATAATCTGGAATTTATTGTATCCCTTTGATACTCGTTCAAAAGGAGCCAAAGGAACGAAGATTGGCATGTGGAAATCCTGAACATACCACATGTGATGGCGGTGTCCTATTTCGGCATGCCTTCTAATTAGTAAATGACATGTTTCGCAATTCCTTAATAACCGATGATGTGATTAGAAACCGCTGCTGAGTAAGACATGCAGGAACCTTTACTCACGCAGAGAACGGGGCTTCTTTCTGTTTCAACACATAGCATGAAGTCTAGCTTTCCCAAATGTCCCTTCCTGTGCCTCTGTATAAATGAGGGGGGTCTAACAGCCACCTGCAGCTGCCTGCGAGCAGTGGGGCGGTGCTGGCCTTGCAGTAGACAGATCCAGATGGATCCCCGACACCCCACAGTGGCCCTGACCCCACAAGGAGTGATCCCCAAGCTCGCAACCGGGAGCCGGTTGCGAGCACTGCTGGGTGTGGCCCCAAACAAAACAATCCCAAACACACAAGGGCTGCTGTCCTTAGCCGGCACCAGGTACCACTCGTGTAAAGGTGGCAGGGCCACATCGTGGTCACTGCACGAGGAGGAGCAGTTGCCTAAATCCTAAAGCAAACAGAGCAGTTCCTGGGGGCGGTGGAGGGAGCAGCTACTAGCCACATGCCGGGAAAATGCCACAGAAAGGCTAAACCACTACTTGGGCAAGAGCTAAGAGTTGAAAAAGCCTTAACGTTCTTGGCACCGAGGCCAGGGAAGCAAAGAAAGTGCTGAGTGACTGTGTTCAAAGCTGCAGCGATGCTAAATGCCAACTGCGCATTTCTTTAAGCTTGTCAGCTAAATTCTCCCTGTCCATCCCGTCTCGTCTGGAGTTTTCTTTTCAAAACATATGCCTGATCACTTGGGTGCTTCAGATGGGACAGATCTTTCCCACTGTTATTTGTTCTTTTGCAAACTAAGCTACACAAATATTATTGCATTTTATCTAAAGTTATATCCATTTGAAAACCGTCTTATGTTTTAGTATAAAATTAGTTTGAAGAATAAATGTCTCTATTACACAACTAACACACACTCTTATTCATACACTTAACACTCATGCACACACAGACACACATATACATACATTCATGCATACACACTCATATACACATACATACACGCACTCACATGCACTCATGCATATATACACATTCACACATATGTACACTCACACATGCGTACACACGCATATACACTCATACACTCGTGTATGTACTCATTCACACACGTATACTCTCACAAGCATACATACACTATACACATGCACATATACACACATGCATGTACAAACTCATGCACACATACACACATGTACTCATGCATATACTTACACACATTCATACACACACATACACCTGCACACACATACTCATTCACCACTCATGCATACACACACTCATGCATACACACACTCATACACACCTGCACGCACACAGTGTCCTGGCCGTGGTATGACATAGGTCTCACCACAGAAAATAGTCAGGAAAGTATTTACGCAGTGGTTTGAATTTCAAGTAATAATGATACTTTCTTCAAAGAAAACATCACGCTTTTCCTGATTTCATAAACACATCCAGTGTAACGTACGCCTCAGAATTCTGTTCACCTAATGATGTTAGATCCCCTTACAGAGACGTTTCCCAGCTCTCAAAGTATTACCTGTGACAGGGCAGTCACAGACCCAGTGAGTGGGGGTCTTGGAACCAAAATTCTCTGTACTTGACGCCTGTTAGGCCATTAAATTCCACTTTCAAAGCCCTCTGCTAGGTGCCGTTTCAAAAAATCAGCTTGGATTTTTCATCAGCGACAGGCTCTTACTTGACTAGTTTCAGCTTGGGTGTGCGCCCCGTCTGCCCTCCCCTCCTCCAAAGCCCGTTTTTCAACGCCTCTTTCCCCTCTCAGCCTGTGTGACGCCCTGCTGAGCCCTCACAGACACACACCCACGTAGCGAAGACTGAGGTAATAAGGGTCCGTGCAGTTGCATCAACCCTCCAAATAACTGTTCCAGTTCTCCCCTGGGTAGGGGACAGGTGGAGGGGGCACGGGGACAGTCAAAGACATTTTGGTGGGGGGGGCGGTCCCTTTGTACCTCAGTATCATCCCTGAACACTATGTGACCATCTCAACTACTATAAAGCAAAACTAAGCCCTACCACTCCCTGGGATGACTAATCTCAGAGGTCTGTCCCTGGAGAAATCCAACAGCTTCCGTCTAACGGTACACCACAGATCAGCAACAGGGTCCCTGTGCCAGAGTCTCACTTGATAACGCCACCCGGGACTAGGAAACTCGAACCCACACCAGAGAGCCCTGGGAATGCGGTGGAGGAGACCGCCAGGCTCTGTGGCGGTGGCTCTGTCTTACCTGAGTGAATCCGAGCTTGATCCGTCTCTGTTTGAAGGTCTTGGCAAACTGCTCCAGCTCCTCCAGGTCACTGGGCTCCTCCAGGCTGGGGGTATCAATACGCTTTGGTGTCGACTGGCTCTGTGGAAGCGTCTGGATTGGGGTTGCTGCTATAGTGCGTGTAGGGGTTGCTGGCTGCTGGCGCGGGAACAGAACCACAGACACACACACACACAGGCACAGAATTAGGATGATGGCAAGCTTGTGTGAGCACCGCATCAAGGAACGCTCAGCTCAGCTCTGGAGGATTCATGGCTGCGGAAGGCACGAGTCGGTGAGGAGAGCAGAGGCGGGATCTGGGCACTGTGGCCGACAGGGGACAGTTTCAAACCCTCCGTCACCAGGGGCGCGTGCCACAGACTATGCCTATGCCGTTAGGACCCAGAGGGCCTGATCGAGGGTGTTTCTGCTTCTGACTGCAGAAACGCCCAAAGATATCATAATGCCCCACTTGTCCCCTTCCCCATCCTAGGGCAACTGCTCTGCTCACCGTCTTGTCTCCGATACCAAAGCACACGACATGCGTTCTGGGACTGTGGCTGCCAGACTCAACATCACAGTGAGTCTGATGGTTGGGGAACCCTGAGGAATAGACCCCTCACTGGGAGGGAGGCTGCCCTAAAACACACCTCACTTCCAGAAGTTTCCTGCTCTCTCGAAGACAAACTTTTCTTGGGAGGACCCAGGTGGTCCTGGGGACTGACCCTGGCCTCCCGCAGGCAGATTTTATCTCTTCCCATCTCCATGGCAGCTGATTCTTTTTGTCTTTGTTGGTGACGTCTGGGTCACACCCAGCCGTGCTCAGGGGTTACTCCTGGCATGGGAGACCCTCTGGCATGCCGGGGATCAAACCCGGGTGGGCCACGTGCCAGGCAACCGTCCTCCCCGCCGAGCTATTATCGCTCTAGTCCCTGTCTGTCTGTGGCAGTGGACACGCCACTGAGGGGCTCAGGCGCAAAGCCAGTGCTGGAGTTCTGATGCCCCACTGGACCATCTGGAGCACCCAGTGGACAGTCCTGCCCTGCTGCTGCTCTCGGGGCAGTGCTCAGCCCTTACAGTGCTGGGGGCCTCTCAGCAGACAGTGGAGCCTTAGACGGAAGCCTCTTTGTGGCCAGCAGATGCCTGGGCACGTGTCATATTAAGTGCTAACTAGAGACAAAAGGGTCAGAGGGGGCCGGGGGATGAGTCAGGATCGACCACTTCACCCCTGTAGAGTCGCAGATGGGGAAAGTGGAGGCCCTGGGGGTGGGGTGGGGAGGCCACAGCACCTCCAGGTCGGGAGATGGTGGCGAGGCGTTTCTAAGGCAGGCAGAGGGTTTTCACGGGGACCCTCGTCTCGAGTTCAAGTGGTGATTCCCGCCGCCAACTCTGCGGGGGACGGGAGGGCAGTAGCAAGAGCCTGTCTCCATGGCACATGGTTCTGGAGGAGCGTCTCAGGACATGGGAACGCTGTTCGCTGCAGCTACGCCCACTGCGCGGCTGCGCCGTGAGCTCCGTAAGCCACCCGAGTCGAGGGGGGCTCTGGGCTGCGCCCTAACCAACCACAGCCCCGGGAGGCGGACCTGGGAGGTGAGGGTGATGCTCGGCTGGGACTGCAGGAGGTTGGCTTGGCTTTGCTGAGGTAGTTGCGTTAGAAGATTCTGCGCTTGCAGGAGACCTGGAAGACACAACGGGCCACGGCAGACACGTTAGCGAGAATTTCCAGCTGCTCCGCCAGGGTCTCACCGGCCCTCAGACACAACGGGTTGCAGTGGACACGTTAGAGAGAATTCCCAGCTGCCCCGCCAGGGCCTAATCTCAGACTCCTCAGGGCTTTATCGCCCGACATTCAACTCCGTCAGATGCGGCGGATCAAGGGACTGGAGGGTCAGCAGTGAAACAGATGTCCCCACTGTGACCCCGACAGCCTCTTGGCCGGCCGAGCTTAGCCTCCGTGAGGGACCAGAATAAAGGGGAGAAGTCCTCTTGGCACTGCAGATTGACTCCAACGTCCGGGCCCAGAGCCTTCCCCCAGTGCCAGACAACTATCTAGTTTAAGAAAGATAGCGGGGCCGGAGTGACAGTGAGTGAGGAAGGCGCCTTGTACGGTACATCGGATCCCGGGCATCCGGTGCCATCTCCCGAGGACCGCCAGGAGTGATCCCTGAGCTCAGAGCCAGGAGGAACCTCTGAGCATTGCCGGTGGGGCCCCAAACCCAAAAAAACAAAAAAAGAAAGCAAAGCAGCAATTCTTTAAGAGGCAGATCCAGGAAAGAGTTCTAGAATACGCAGCGACAGAAAGCGGAAGAACTCAGCGCTGGCATGGGGGCAACTGCCTGTGTTGTGAGACGCCCTTACAGACCCCCCCACCCCACCCCACCCGTGCTGAGATGGCCTTATAGACAGACAGACCCCCATCCTGACGGGCACAGAAATCAGGCAGCACCCAACACCAGGGGGCCTTGGACTGCTCCTCTGGGACGCACAGGACAGGCAACTCCTACCCCCGTCCCCAGACACTCAGGGAAGACCAGTGTTCATGGGAGCATGTGCTGCAGTGCTCGGCCCACTCTGAGGGCGTCCCGGGGAAACACCAACCCCAGCAGCCCAACTCGGTTCCTCCCTGCGGCCACTCACGGGTGCCCGCGGGACGGGCGGGTGCAGTGGAGCGAACCCCCTTCCTTCCCCCCTTCCCTCCCGGCTCACCCTGCTGGCCCTGGGGCGTCTGGGAGATGATGAACTGCGCCGGCTGCAGGCTGGCCGTCGGGTGCACCAGCACGAACTGCTGCAGGTTCAGGTTCTGCTGCTGTAGCTGCTGCAGCTGTTGCAGGTCCTGGAAGGGCAGAAGGAAACGGGGAGCACTGATTTGGGGAGCACGGACCACATCACATGCAGCCCCGGGCAACGGGTCCCATCCCACCTGGTAAAGAGGAGCCCGAAGCTTACACTCCGGCCTCCTTCCCAGGGGCTGTCCTGGCACACGAACACCGCGTGCGCGTGTGTCCATATGTGTGTGTGCATATGTATGGATGTACATGTTCATGTGTACATGCATGTGTATGTGTATGTACGTGTGTTGATGTATATGTGTGTGAACGTGTGCGTGTATGTCCAGGTGTGTGTCCGTATGTATGTGTGTGTGTCCCCGTGTTTGTGTGTAAACCCTCACGGGGGACACCGTGCTGTGTTGACATACATGCAGCCTAGTTTCCTGCCATGATTTAAAGTCCCTCAGGACAAACGGTGTCGGCTGTGTACACACACGTTTACACAGGTCTTAAAGATCAAATGAGGAAAACAGCGTGTGGACTGAAAGCAGAGATGGCTGTATCTGAGTTTGTGTCAGTCTATCAGAAGACGCCTAATGATTTATGAAAACTGGCACCATCCAATCCAATTCCGCCAAGAAGGCACCGTCATAAGTTCCACGAACCCCTGTGAAAAAATCCGACCCCCACCACACAGCAACAGAATCGGCCTCATGTTGCAGGATGTTTTCAAGAGCCTTCATGGTCAACCGTCTTATTAGAACAAATCACTCTTGGTCTCGCGTGTTAGGTGCCAACACAACGCTTTTGGAGGGATGCAGAACAGGGCCCCGGCGAGAACACAATCTGGAGAAGACGCGGCACCACAGGGCTCGGCCTGACCCACCGGGCACCTGTCCCTGTCCCAGCCGGGAAGGCGTTTCTGCATCTCGAGATGAAGTGACTGTCTGAGGTGGGACTCGCAAGCCCCCTCTCTTCTCCTGAGGCTCCCTGGCCGGACAGAGCAGGGGACCAAGTTCTGCACAGCCACTCACGCAGGCGGCCCGGGAGGGCCAAGGCACCCCTGCCTCTGGCGTGAGCCAAGGACAGGACGCACGGCCGGCCGCTGGCGAGACGGCGGGCGGCGCCACTCACCTGTGCGATCTGGATGGGCTGCGAGAGGGGGATCTGCGTCATGGGCGTGGCGGCGGAGGCCGAGATGGTGGCGCCGGCGGCGCCATGCTGCTGGCTGGCCGAGTGCTGCTGGACGGCAGCGGCCAGCAGCTGGGCCTGGGCCTGGGCCTGCTGGAGCAGGAGCTGCTGCTGCGCGGGTGTCAGCGTCAGCTGCACAGAACGGGACAGACGGACAGACGGTTGGAGCGCGCGGGCAGCGGACTGAAACGGTGGCCTCGCCACAGACATGAGCCCCATGGGCGCAGGCACGAAGGTCATTAACCAGTAAGCAGAAGAGTCGCCGCCGACGGGCCCAACGGGATGGCGGGTGAGCGCCGGGGCTGCCTCGGACAGGCCTGCCAAGGGCCCAGCTGCTCCCAGCCGCCGACACCCACTGCGGCCACTCACTGCCACCAGCCTGGGGGCGGGACCCGTGAGCACACGCTGTCTGCTTCCGGCCAGGCTCACGCCTTAAGCGTGTCTGTGCAGAGAGGAGGGCAGGAAGGACCCCGAGGGCCACTGTGGATGCACATCCCAGGGGCCACGAATCCCAGACACGTCTGAGTTAAGACTGTCAGTGCTGGCTGGCCGCTGACAGGGCACGGAGGGCTTGAGTCACGTCAGGCGCACTTCAACAAGGGGCCAGCTCTGCGTGCAGAGGGAATCAAGGCCCCAAGTCACCCCCAAACCGCACCCCCTGCTGGACAGGCACGCCCGCTCATCACACGTTTTTAACGGGACACAGAAGCATGTCAGCCTACAGCTGGAATCCTGCACTCTTTTTTTTTTTCTTTTTGGGTAACACCTGGCGACGCACAGGGGTTACTCTGGCGCTGTGCTCAGGAATTACCCCTGGTGGTGCTCAGGGGACCATATGGGATGCTGGGAATTGAACCCGGGTCGGCCACATGCAAGGCAAACGCCCTGCCTGCTGTGCTATTGCTCCAGCCCCCTGCACTCTTTTTTGATGCTAATTTGTTTTGTGGGCTACACCCCGCAGTGCTCAGGAACCACTCCTGGCAGTGCTCCAGGGAGCATATGGAGGGTGGGGGACCGAACTAGGGTCTGGCCTCATGCAAGGCAACAGCCCTCCTTGCTGTCTTCTCTCTCCAGAGCCACGTTGCCCCCTAGAGGCACAGTTAACACATACGTCACGAAAAGGAAGAAGAAACACACTGTGTGTGTGGTTCAAGGAGGTGCGCACCAAGCAGAGACACAGAACACTCAAACTTGATCTGAACTTGGATTCTGTGAGCGTCCGCCTGAAACATGGGAGTAACGCAGTCACAAAGACTGACAAACAAACCCGCTGCTGGAGGGAGAGGGGGCAGAGGGTAAGGAGCCGGTGTGGCCCACCTACTTGCCCCACACCTGGACCTGAGCACTGCCAGGGGTGACCCGAAAAGCCCAAATAGAATTTCCGGTAGGCAATTTCAGAAAAAAAACTTGTCCACACTGGAAATTCCCTGGGCGCCAACGGCATTTCCCCACTGCGACACGCCCCGAGGACCAGGGCGCCGCTGACCGAAGCCCCATGGTACCCGACTCCCGGGGCAAACTTGTGGCCGAGCCTGAAACGGGCACAGTGGCCGCATCCTCGAGCGGGCACCGGCACTGGCCCGGCATGGGCTGGTTTCCCAGAGCCGTTCACAGCGAGGCACGTTCCCAAGGAGCAGGGGAGCCGCCGCACGCCCGCGAGCACTCACCCCGGTTATCTGTCCCCCAGCCAGCATGAGCTGGGGCTGGGGGATGGCCGCCTGCACGGAGGGCTGCTGGGAGGGCTGGCTCGGCTGCTGGGCGTCCCCCGGCTCTTCATTCGACTTAGGCTGCAGCAGGGCGGGGGGGGGGGGGACACAGGATTGCAAGAAGTTGGTTTACACACACACCCCCCCTAACTTTGGAGAATCATTTCCAGCCGGCTTAGTCCTGGGGCTCCTGCTTCTCACTTTTGCTTCCTTACAAGCCCTGGGAGTCTCCCCGTTTTCCTAAGAGGTGTCTGGACCTTTGTGGTCGGAGGTCAGCAATGCTGAAAAAATTCCTTTCTCTTTTTCTTTTTTTTTCTTTTTTGCTTTTTGGGTCCCACCTGGTGATGCTCAGGGGTTCCTCCTGGCTCTGCACTCAGGAATTACTCCTGGCAGTGCTCGGGGGACCCTATGGGAGGCTGGGAATCGAACCCGGGTTGGCAGTGTGCAAGGCAAACAGCCTCCCCGCTGTGCTGCAGCCCCTGCACTTAAAATTTCTTAGACGAAAAACGAACCCGATCCTCGATAAACAGATGGAATTTTTTTTTAAACCAGCCCCCAGCACTGGAAATGGAGGAAGAAACGGGGATGTTCCACTGACCCCCTCCAGCCCATGGTCTGACTCTCGGGGAACGGTACTTTCCCCGCCCGCCCCCCCACCCTGACCAGGGAGTTTGGAAAGTGCATCCGGTCCCTCCCGCCAGGCCACCGGTGCTCCGGCACGGGGCTCCGGGAGGAGATTTCACGGTAATTAAAACTGGTTATGCAGAGCATTAAAATTCTGCATCGATTTGCATATTTCCCACCACCTGTTTGGGGACTGCAGCAAGGCTAATTAACATCAAGGCTCTGATTAATTCTGCCAGTCACCGAGAGATAATTACAGAGCAGGACTGTAAACACAAGGCGCTGAAGAGAGGGCCTGTTTGCCAACATCCCTCGGAGGGGTGAGAGCTCCCATGGCAACCCGTGCCATCTCCCGCTGCCCGCCTCCCCCGACGGGAAGGTCACAGCATCCCTTTCTTGGCTCTCTGGGTTCCCGGGGTGGTGGACAAGGTCCAGATCCCACCGGCTTTCGGGGCGTTTCGGCCCCCGGTCCTGGCTGGGACACTGGGGAGTAAGACCCCGTGGGCCTGTCACGGGGTCGGGAGAGGCAGAGGCGCCCGATTCGGGCCCTTTCAGCGTGCACGTTCCGGCACAATCTTCTAAAAGCGCCCACTGAAATTCAGGTAAGAAAAAGAAAGCCCTAGGAGATGAGGGGTGACTTGCGAATGGTCACATGGCTGCCTAGTGGCAGAATGACCACTCAGTGACCACTCGATGACCAAGCACCTCTGTCCCCCAGTCCTTCTCTTGCTCTAGGCTGTTTCTCTAAGTCACGAAAAACAACAAATGAAAAAGGTGCAGGGACAAAGTGGCATCTGAGGTCTCCTTCCACTTTGGGCAGCGGTTAAATGCCCAGATGCCTGAGCTGGGTAACTCAGAAACATTGTTACTGAAATTACAAATCAAAGTCTGAAAGCAAATTCTTTCCTGTTCAACTCTGGTCATTCATAGCGGCCTAATACAACCACGACAATGATCGTATTTTGAATCTCTAAGTAACATTTCCAAGTATTTTTCTACTGTAAGATAACTGCATGTTCTATTGAGGTTCAGAAAAAGAAGCATGTCACAGTATGCCTGCGCACAGCCCGGGCCCAGCTTACCTGTACATTTAAAGACTGAGCGGCTGCCTGTAAACTCGTCCCAGCGAGCTGAACCTGTGAGCAGAGAATTGGGGAGACTCGAATCTAACAGACAGACACCCACATATCTCCCCCAAGCCTCTCTGACGTGGATGCCAGCCAGTTCAGACGGAGGTTTCTCGTCAAGGGTTATAGGGGATGGAGTCGGGAGTCAGGCCTGAGCTCAGAGCCAGGAGTCAGCCCTGAGCCTTGTCAGGAATCAACCCTGAGCACAGAGCTGGGAGTCAGCCCTGAGCTCAGCGCTGGGAGTCAGCTCTGAGCACTGCTGGATGTAGCCCCAAACACACAAACGAACAACAAAAAAACCAAAACAGCAAAACCCTCATGCACCGGCCCCCAGAACTGCCCGCGAAACGTTTCTCCTCTGCAGCAGTTCCCCACGCCAAGTCAGTGGCACAGATAGGCCACTCCAGGTTGAGGCACGACTCCAGGACATTCCATGGAGCACCTGGAGGCCCTATCGCCCACTCCTGCCCACACTCACCCTGTAGGCAGGAACTTGAGCCCCAGGGGAAGTCCCTAAACCAGCAACATGAACAAGGGAGAAGCAGCCCCTTAGCTTACCTTTATCATGATAAACGATTAGACTTTGCAACTTATTCCAACGTCAAGAATTTCCCATATACTCCAGGATCACACACACACACACACACACACACACACACACACACACACGGATGCACACAACTACATACACACCTACACCATGTACGCAAGCACACACAAACCTACACACACACACCTACACAAACCTATACATACCCCTTCACACTCATATATCCCTTCACATACCTAGACACATACCTACATGCATGCATGTTCATACACCTACACACACCCCACCATACACATATATAACCCTCCGCGCACACACACACACGCACACACACACACACACACACACACACACACACGCCTACACAGTCAGAATTTTACAACTAAAGTTCTAACTCCCGGCTAAAATAGTTAGAGCAAAATAAATAAATAAAATAGTCAGAGTGTGTAGAGATGTTTAGACTTAGGCGAAAATTCACACACCAAAAGGGTAGAGGCAAATTTTTCCTTTTTGGTTTTGGGGTTGAGACTAGGCACCCGTCCTTCACCTGCGCGTCCCTGGCCCGACTGACCGAAGCAGGGCTCTCCCCGATAAACGAAAGGCCCACCCACAGGCGCCGGCTCTGGGTCCTTCCGGAAACGGTCCCAGGAGGACTAAGAGCTCAGGGCAGCCTTGTCGGGCCCTGAAGCCACAACAGCTGCAGCATCTCGGTGACTGTCCCGAGGGCCCCGCGGATTAGCCACAGGTCTGGGCAACAGCCCCTAACCACGAGAACTGCAGAAACGCACGATGACCATCCCAATGGCCCGGGGGCCTGAGAGCTCCCTGCCCTACTATCCCCCCTTGAGCCCTGGCTGGCCCGAGCAGCCTACCTGATGGAGATGCCCCAGGAAGGCCTGTGCCTGCGCTGTCGAGATGGCGCCCCCGACGGGCACGGGCTGCTTCTGGAAGTCCAGACCGTTGGTCTGCGTGCCTGGAAGGAAGACAGTCATTATGGGGCTGGAAGCAAGCAGGCATCTGTGCTTGACACACTTTCTAAGGCTCTCCAAGGACAAGGGACTCCACAGGAAAAGTCAAAAGATCCCTGGTCCCAGGCTGGAGTGACAGCACAGCGGCTAGGGCATTTGCCTCGCATGCGGCTGACCTGGGTTCGATTCCCAGCATCCCATAAGGTCCCCCAAGCACCACCAGGAGTAATTCCTGAGTGCATGAGCCAGGAATAACTCCTATGCATCGCCAGGTGTGACCTCCCCCCTAAAAAAAAACATCCCCGGTCCCTCACGGAGACCACAGGACCAACACCAGAAGACACGCCACAGACGAAAGAGGACCAGGAATCACGGAGCACAGTGGGACGCTGGTGCTGAGAAGGCGGGCAGGGCCTGCAGGGAGAGGAGCCCTTCACTGCTGACCTGGCCAGCGGGGCACGGGAGGCAGGTCGATCCCTAAGAAATCGAAAGCAGTCCCTGGCGAGACAGCAGGCCACGCCTTTCCGGGGCCCAGAGCACAGACTCTGAGAGAAGCACGAGCTTCGGAGTGTACCAGGCACGTTCAAATTCATCTGGATTGACTTCTGCGGGGGCCGCTGGGAGACCAACCCAGCAGCCCCCAGCAGGAAGCACGCAGCGCTGGACATCACACCTGAGGTCCTGCCCTGCCAGCTAGAAGCTGCTGTTACAAGAGAACAAGCTGAGGGGAGACGCCTCTATGGGATGGACAGCAAGGGCCTGTCCACTTGCTGGCTCCTGGGACTCCCAGACATTTGGTGCTGAGCACAGGTGCCTGAGGGACTCTCTGAAGCTGTCCCCCACCCCCACCCCACAGCGTTTCCAGAAGGCTCTCTCCTGCTGGTCAAGCAATCATCCTGTTCGGCAAGAACCAAAGATCTCCCTGGGGTCATCAGGAAAGGAGTGGGCGAATCTCTCACCTCCTGGAAATCGCAACTTGAGGTCTGTCCTGTCTAATTTCTCCCTCAAGCTTCCCATAAACAGGAAACTTACAGAACGACCTAGACGTCACTTAGTGAAAATTTTTCCCCCCACTTAAATGTGCTGCTTGTGTCAAGTCATGAGAAGCTAGAGTGAAATGAAAGTCACAGGGGTCACGGTCACTTCCACAAGCCACGTCCAGTGTGTGGCTATACACTGCCCGTCATCAGCTGTTCCGTATCCTCTGCGGGAAACCGCTCACGACACACAGAGTAAGCGCCGGAGCTAAGGGAGAGGAGAGTTTGGAAAGCAGAACACGCGTGTGGTTAGGAAGTCTCCAGAAGCAACACTTCTCTGGGGGGCCCGCGGACCTTCCACAGCCAAGCCTCCCCCTCGAGTGCATGCTGCCCACCCCTGCGGGAGGGGCTGGTTTCTGGTGCCCATAAGGCCTAAGTGCATGCGACTCGAGGCTGGCTAGGAGTCAGCAGTCCAGGCCAACTGGGGGTCCGGGGCAAAGACACAGGGGTGGGGAGTGAAGTAAGGTGCTGGGGCTGAGACAGGAGGTCAGGGGTGTGAGTCACAAGAAAAGATACACCAGCACACTGCCCGCCCCCCCACTACCGCGCCCCCTTCCCCATCAGCTTCCCGCCCAGGAAACAACTGTCAGTGCTGAGACCTTCTCCAGCCCAGAGGGCACAGCACGGAACCTCCATTCATTTGTTCACGAGTGAGGAGAAAGATGAAAAGATCTTGGAGTGGAATGTTCGAGGCGAGACGGCCCCTGGACCTTGTCCCGTCCCTCCTGGCAGCGGAGGGCGGAAAAGCGGAGCGTGAGAAGCAGACACAGAGAAAATACAGAGAAAATGGACGAGGCTGCGGCGAGAGGGAGCAGGCAGGAGAAGAGCAGTGGAGAAGGTCCCCGGAGAACTGTGGGCAGGAGAACGCGCCCGGGGTGCGCCAAGTGATGGCGAGCCGACCCAGAGAGAGAGGTGAGGACGCGACGAGAAAGACGACGCCAAAGACCATGGACGGGACGGGGAGACTGAACACCAAGAGCGTGGCTGTTTCAAAAGAAGCAGGTGGAGCCCAAACTCCCGGGAGACGGAATAAGAACAGGAAAGAGAAGCATAAAGTCGAATCTCAAGATAATGGCAAGCATTGTGAAAACAAATGGTGTATTACAAGAAAGAAGTTCTAGAGACTAAGTCAAATTCATACCAACAGTTAAAACGTACAGGCGGCCCGACTCTAGGAAGGAGGGACTGGTCCAGGGCCAAGAGCATCTGAAGGAACTGGACTGGCAGGCAAAAGTCTTCCCCAGGAGGAAATAAGAGATGGAGACCATTTGACTCTGCTTCCAAAACTCTAAGGAATACATAATTCCAGTCTTTCCCAAATACTCAGGAGAGGGGAGGGTTAGGAAACACGTTCGAAGGACTCACTGTAGGAGACACCATAAGCCTGGAAGAGGTTCAAGGAATACAAGGCAGCATTAACCACCGACTATGTGGCACACCCCAAGCAACGGCGCACAACCTAGCAAAATCAAATATTCCGGAAGCTGTGTTTACACTGCCAACTGAGGGCTGGTTTGGGGCTTTAAAAATCCAGCCCCCGTGTGTGAAGACTGCACTTGGCCTGCTTGTGGCCATCGTGGAATCCCAGCACCACATCTGGTGACCCAGCAGGGGTCACTCCTGAGCACAGAGCCCCAGCCTACCTCCCCCAAGTCATCAATTAATGGGATTCACCGCAAGCATCAGAGGCGGGGGACTCAGAGAGCCTCTTAAAGAACACAGGGAAACCTTTCGTGTTCAATGCAAGCTACAGAAAGAACAGTAAGTGTAGAAACGGAGCATCCTTTACTTGATTAAAAGCGCACATCGATTTAGAACAAGCAAAGGGCACCAGCTTTGAAAAGTTCAGCCAGCAAAGCGAGAAAAGCCACAGGAGCTGGACCAAGTAAGCGCTCTCGTGAGTATGCTGGGAGCACTGCCCAAGGAATCCACTGATCTATTAGAATGAGCGAGTTTAAAAAGGTTGCAGCACACACACACGATCTGCTTTCAAATGGAATTTTTTAACAGTACATTTATAATAGTCCAAAAACACAAAGTTCCGGGTATCTCTGTCAAAATAGAGCAAATCCCAAAAGAAAAACATTTTATTTTAAAATAATAAACACACGATAAATAAGACTGAGTCAGTGGTCGAATGACTAGTTCTGCCACGCATTGGCCCGTGAATTCAGAGCAATTTCACAACCGAATATCTCTCCGCATTCTTTTTTATTTTTATTTATTTATTTTGCTTTTTGGGTCATACCCGGCAATGCACAGGGATGACTCCTGGCTCTGCACTCAGGGATGCTGAGACTCGAACCCGGGTCGGCTACGTGCAAGGCAAACGCCCTACCAGCTGTGCTATCTCTCCAGCCCCTCTCTGCACATTCTTTCCTGTCTTTTTCTCCCATTCTTTCTCAGGGTGGGCTGAGACAGGTTCATTCTAAAAGCAAACAAACAAACTTCCTTTTGGACCACGCCCAACAGTGCTCAAGGCTGACTCCTGGCTCGGTTCTCAGGAATCACTGCTGGCGGGTTCAGGGGACCATATGGGATGCTGGGACCAAACCAGTCGTGTGCTAGGTGAGTGCCCGCCCTGCTGGACCATTGCTCCGACCCCGGACGCTGCTGAGAGGATCAAAGTGGGAGTGACGGGAGCAAACAGGAGGCTGAGCCAAGCTCAGTCCCTCTATCCCTGGCACTGCCCACAGGCCTTGCCAGTGCTGGATCGGTGCCGGGTGGCCTTAGCCTCTGCGCCCTCTCACTAGGTCCAAGCCATCTTATTCTCTCTCTTTCCGAGAATGGCCAACTTGAAAACTGGATCCGGGAATTATTCCCCTGCTTCCCGATCATTAACTTCTTGACCAGCGGAATTGCCCGCTTTCACAATTCCAAATTTCTCTTTCGGATGAATGTTTTTTAACGCTGCAGGAAAAAACAGCTTCTGATAAACCCACGGTTACGCCTGAAGTCACACAATCATCTCCTCCTGGCAGCGAGGCGACTGTTTCTGCTTCTGAGCATATTTGATTCTTATATGATTACCCAGGTATAAAGAGCGACAACGTGATTTCGTGTCGCACCAGGAACACCAGGCACAGAGACCCCGCTGCAGAAACTGGGCACGGAGCGGGTGTCGGGCATGGCATCCGGTCCCTCCCTGAAGAGACACCCGAAAACATCTAAGACACGGCAGCACTGCTCTAAGACCAGAACTCAAGGTGACCGGTTCTCCTGCCCCATGAGACTCTCTCGCGGAAGGTGGATTTCTGACCCCCAGAGACTCCACACCGCCGCTGTGTATGACAAACCGTATCACGCACTACAGCTTCAGTCAAGTCTAGTCAGTAAAAATTTTCAACAGTCACAGATTTTGACTCGCCAGCAGACAAGGCAAAGTGAAAAAGTGAAAGTTGGCGAGCACACTGGAGTTCTAGAAGCCAGGCGGGAGCGTGACAGTGGTCTCTATTCTCAGTTCTCTCTCCAGAAGCAGTGGGATGCTTAAGGGGGTTCCCAGATGCTCAGGGGCTACTCCTAGCTCTGCACTCAGGGGTCATTCTGGCAGTGCTCGGGGACCCTATGGGGTGCCGGGGATTGAACATGGGTCAGTGACATGCAAGGCAAGTACCCGCCTCGCTGTGCTGTCCCTCTGGCCCCAAAGTATCTGCTGCTTTCCTCAGAGCCTTTGACAATGCGCGCCAGCAAGGCACGACAGCCTTCCAGGGGACATGGCAGCAGACCGTCACCGATGGCATGTCCTGTCAGTGACAGGCAGCCATGCTGGAGATCAAACCCAGAGCCTGCCATGGTGGAAGCTGCGACCCCAGTTAACAGCACACCTAGCTGCGGGGAAGTGACTTAGAACCCGCTGCGGTGACAGTCTTGTTCCAGTAACTCCAACATGTGACACAAAGGGACACTTTGAAAAACAAAATAATCGGAAAGTTGTAATTCTAAAACTTTTTTTTTGCCTTTCTTTTGGG